AATAATGTAATTGAATTAGTGTAATGATAACCAACATATTATTAATTTATATTATTAATTTATATTATATTATTAATTTAAAAACTATTTTAGCAGATGATATTCTCTCTCTCTCTCTCTCTCTCTCTCTCTCTCTCTCTCTCCTTCTTCTTCTTCTTCTTTCTAAGATTAAATATGTGTAATTTTTATTCATGTAAAATTTTATGCAATAAAATAAAATGGAAATGCTTCAAATATTTCATAACAGATCATGTTATACATTTATTTATTGAATTTTTTAATGAATAATCGCAAAAAATGCGAAAATTGAAATTGGAGTAATCTAATTTTGTTTTAAAATTCACGTATATTTGAATAAATGACAGTGACAAAAATCTTTTACGTCACTTTATGAAATTTTATGAAACTAAAATGCCGCTGCTGTTTTTCACAAACTATGTCAAGATTGTAGGAAAGAATCTTAGCTTGCATAAATATAAGGAAATATCTTAGGGAGTATATTCGGGATAATAACAATTAGCATACGCTTTTTACCAATTTAAAATTTAGATGTAATCTTGATTGTAAGTTCTTCAGCATATAAATCCTGATATTTTACAGTTCTGAATATCGTGTAATACAAATCTAAACTTTTAAGATGTAAAATCTCAAACCTCAGCTTTCAACTTCTTTAATTCTTCAGTTTCTGACTATCATTTTTCAATTTTGTAAATTTGTATTAATAATTCATTATTATAACTATCATTAATAAAATTTATGAATTTTTGCAAAGAGTTATCTACAATGATGTATGACATTTTATTTATGCATAATTAAAGCTGTAACTCGCTGAAACTTATTACTTGCTGAACAAAAAAGCGCGGAAGCTTGGGACTAAGCTAAGTTTCCTTCTCGCATCAATGGCACGTACACAGAAGGGGTAGGCGTGGCACTTTACGTTGGATGCTCGCGCGTGCACCGGACGCGAAAGGATAAGACAAGGGTATGAGCAAGAGGGTAGATATGTGCGTATGGGATGCCGCGCGAGTATAAAGGGAAACGAAGACAAGAATGAGAGACAGAGTTATTTCGCGAGATGAAATGGAACGAATGATGTGTGCGTAAAATGAGGACGACAAAATAATGAAGAAGCCAGACAGAACAAGAAAAAGAGGGAGAGAGAGAGAGAGAGAGAGAGAGAGAGAGAGAGAGAGAGAGGGAGAGGAAAAGAGAGGATTGAATCTGCACAGGGATGAAATAGCGGATAGAGGGAAGCTGCGAGGAACATTCTTCCTTATTCCGTAAGCGTGAGTGAGAGAAGTAGAGAATGTGCGCCGCGCCGCGCCGAAGAGAGTGGAGTCTCGTCAGAGTGAGGGAGAGCGTAAGAGAGGGAGCGAGAGCCAGATAGAGTAGGATAGAAATGCAGGGCGCGAGACCGCGCGACGCTTTCAGTCACCGCCCGATCCTCGGCGCGCACGGTTTCGAAGTGGGTGTTTCTCTATCGTAGAAATAGATTGGTGATTTAAATGGAAGTTCATCGAGAGACAAGAATCGTGTGATCGGTATTGAGTGCACGCGTCGGACAAAAGTCAAATGACGCGATCGTACTGAAATTGAAAAAATCAGCGATCGATGACCGAGTGCGCGGATATAATTACGATATCGAAATTTCGATGTGAGATTAACTTATAAATGGTGCAATGAGAATCGCAAGAACGCTGCGATTAAATTTCGTTATTATGCACAGGTGAAAACGTGGTCATCCGGACGCAGAAGGAATCAGGACTATTGTAAATGTGAATAATCTTGGAATAAAAATTTTACGAAAGTTCGTAATCTTTTTCCTACTTTCATTTCAGTCGTTTTTAATCGAGACGATCGATTCGTCGAAAGACTACATCGAACATGTAGTCGCGAAGCGGCGTTTCAACGGCAAGAAACTAAATCAGAAGTCACGCGGGTGTGTTCAGAATTAAATGGTGCGACAGAAATGACTTTTTTCCAGACAGTGATTTATAATTATCTAGAAATCTTTAGTGCATCCACAGATGTGTAATGTGAACACACGAACAAATAACTTCGACTTTGTCCGCGGATTTGTCGCGGCGAAATGAAGGACTCTGAACATCTCTGCCAGAGTTAGGTGAGTAAGATAAAACAATATTCTCGCGTTTATATGAGGGAATGAATTTTTTAGGAAGTCAAGAAAAATGATGTAGAATAATTTTAATAAAACAATATTCAATGAATAAGGCTAATGAAAGTTAAACAGTCGGGGTGCAAGACAATGTATTTCAAACATTACTTAACAATTTTTACGTTTCGGCTACAAGCCATTCTCAGCGAACAATTATTCTTTCAAAACAATTATTTTTCCAAAAATAAATCAGAGATATATTCATAATTTAAAAAGACTCGCTCTGAAACTGTTCTTAATTATTGTCAAGTTGATAGATTCAAGAAACGATCATGTAATAGAGCCAATTGGAAAAACCTAGGAAAGATAAAAAGATGAAAGCAATGAGAATTAATTTTTAATCAAAAGAAAATCATCCGAAGCCAAGAATGCGAGAGAACTAATATCTTAACATAATAATATAAAATTTCGCAGTCGTGTTGAAGAAATTACAATAATATATACTGATCGGATGATCATATTTTTAAGAAAAGTTTAACATTAATTAAAGAACTTTATTATGTAAAACATGATTAAATTTTGAAATCGCTATTTTGTAAAATTAAAATATAGTTACATCTAATAATTAATTATGTAATTAAAAATTTGATACATATACATTCTGTATTATTAGAATATAATATATCTCTTGTAAATTTACGCAATATTATGTTTGCACGATTAATAATGTAAAATTCATACTACTTTTGTCCCCCCCAGTCTATATAGTTTACCATTTAATTAATCCTTTGAACGGTGCATCTGTTCGGCTTTATGTTAATAGCATTATATTGACAGTTTAGATTATTATAGTTACAATTATTACTGTTATAATCAGATATTAATAAAGAGAATTGCTGTATTAAATAAAAACAAATTGTTAGCTTCAATGTCATAATGAGATAGAGTATAATATATAATAATTTCAATACTTAGGGTGAGGTTTTTCTACTTTTCGATAAACTTTAATTCTCTTATTTTCTTATTCTTCTACTCTTTTGTTTATCATTAGAGAAATTATCACGTAATTTATCCAAACCCTTATTCAATTGCGACGTATGTAAGTATGAAGAGAACAGAATAAAATAGATTAATTATAGTTAATTCTTTCGATTACACATCACTGTATATAGTAAACATTTTCAAAAATGTAGTATCTCCTTAATATTTTATTATTTGATTTTTAACTTGCGAGAATATTTTAAAAATTATTCTAATATGTAGAATAATTTTTAAAATATTCTCGCAAGTTAAAATAAATTAGAAACACAAATCTAACAATTTTTATATCATTTTGACTGAATGTATAACATAACATCTTATCCATAATTTATTTGTGCTGCACAATCTTATTTCAAGTCGAAAAAGTGATAGTAATATAAATTTTTTAGATTCCTATGAGGTTATTTGTATTTTGAAAAAAAATATTATAAATAATATAACTCAGGCTGGATTGTTCCATCTTTTGATAAACTTCAGCTCACTGTTTTACTCTCTTACTTTTTCTCTGTTTTCTTTTATTCTTTTGTTTAGCCAATAGATTATCCGACATAGTTTATCCGAAATTACCACATAGTTTATCCGAATAATAAATAAATAGAACAATCAGCTTATAGAGAAAATGTAAAAAAATATCGCGACATAATATTGCTCATTGGAAACAAATTATATCCGGTTCAGATTTTTGATTTTTGTACACTATTGAATAAGTACACTGTAGAATAAGTACATAAGTGCGAGAAAGATGCCTGAAAGTGGCGATCGACCCACCGACTGACTGACCGACCGACCAACTGAAAGAGAAAATGCTATTTCGCTAATGGAAAGTCGGATCCACAAATCGGTACCGCGGCGTTTCGCTTACCTCTTTGTCTTTTGGGTCCCGCATACTCTAGTTTTTCAATTTAAAATGACTTTTAAGGAGAACGGATAAAGGTAAGGGGTCGTTCGATCGATATCGAGCGGACCAAATGGCACCGGTAAATTGGAATTGTTACCGATAACGACGTTGTCAGAGGCAGCCGTGAATTCGCGTGTCCTTAGAAATCATTCTGCGTAATTCAACTATAACTTTTACCAAGTACAGATCCTGTACTAATGAACGTCCGGAGCGATATTAAAATCAGTTTTTTAATTAAATAGCAAAATCATTGCCACGAATCTGAGAAAAAGTATCGAAAACTTAAAGGATATGTAATGGACTTTTCAGACAGTTTAGATTAATTTTTGGTTTATAAACTCTTAAATATAATTCTTGAAATTAACTTATTTTCTATTGTGCTTCGAAATGATGCGATATTATAATGATGCGATGACATAAGTATAAGCTATAAAATAATTTTTATTAAAATTAATGCGAATTAATTAAAAAAAAAATATCAAAATTTTTTGTACATAAACCTATCACATTAAAGTGTATTTCAAATAGAATAGCATATTTTCCATAGTGTATGAATTTGCAGTAATTCATAGTTAATGATGCAAACCTTTTAACATATTTAATAAATTATATATAATTTTATAAATCAGTCATTGAATTTAAATTATGTTAAATTTTCGAAAAAAATTAGTATATACAAAGTCTCTTAAAGTTACCGGATATCCTTCACGTACAGATTCTGTGGAACATTCTAAGACAAAAAAATCTTATACGAAAATGTCGAGACTATAATTTGGTTGATCAATTGTAGTAATTAAAATTTGTGTGCTCAAATAGATAGCGCGATATCTTTAATTTTTAAATATTAACATAATTGAAACATTTACCGCAAAAAGTACCTAACTGTTGAAATTCTAGTTTCTGTTTTTAAACCGTCAATAGTCTTATAAGTTAATAACGCTTTAAATAATAGAAAATCAAATTTTTTGATAGTTTAAGATACTTTTGCAGTAAGTTAAGTTTAGGATACTTTTGTGCCTCAATTTTGCATACAATGATAAGAGACCAAGTTATTTCACTTTTTCTTAACCAATAACGATAATTTTATATAAATCTACAAATATCATGTATTGTGCATTTTATACAAATGCTAGAAACATTTTACAAATTTTCGACTGTTCTAATAGTGTTACTTTATAATAAAATAAAGATATAGTTGTATTTTATAAAAAAACTCTCTCGATAGATCAAACAAATCGAATCAATTGATATGGTTCTCGTACTCCTATTTCTATGTAATTTATAAAAAAGTAAGCAAGTGTATATTTCGCAATTACAGCGTTTCTTGAATTTACGTTATAATCTTTTGACGAATTTAATCTCCAGTGATTCGCACTTTTATATATCTTTGATCACTCCGAGAATGCAATCTTGAATGGTACACTTTTATCGCATATTAATTTATGAAATTTATGAAAATTCCTTTATCTTTCCGCTCTATGTGAACATGTTCGGACATATAAGCGCTAGCAAATCTATAACTTTTCGCAATAAGCGACGTTACGGTTGCCATAACAGCGAAACTGCGCGATCAGTGCACTGAATCAACTGTACGATATTATGACGAAACTGGGAACGCGCGGCAACTTGGCAACGTTAAAGACAGAAACGGAAGTTCTTAACGAATGTCGTCATAATGATACCGGATTTATGAGTTTGCTTTGACACTGCTACAAACTTTTTGACTAATTTAGCCCAGATAACTAATTAAAAATTCATCACATATATTAATTAGAAAACTTTTATATAAAAAGAACAATTTTAATATTAAATATGTTAATGTCTCCATATCTTAAAAAGAATTTACATAATATAAAATGGATCACATACATTTATGTTTTAAATATAGAGAATCAATATTACTCGTATATTTACTTGCTATAATACTTTTCTAATTATAAACGATTAAAATTGGCCAATCGAGGCGACTGAATTCATGCCTCAGGAATAGTATATCATATGATGCCATAATACATTAATTAATTCTTTTAATATTGACATAATTGAAACGTTTACCGTGAAAGTGTTTAACTATCGAAATTCGACAGTTAATTCGGTTTAAAAAGAATGAAGTAACTTGATTTCTCTCTCTCTCTCTCTCTCTCTCTCTCTATATATATATATATATATATATAAACTATTAAGCTAAAAAAAGATAATGATAGAAAAAGATAATTCAATATATTACGTCTTTTTAACGGAAGATTTAAGATCAGCACAAATGCTAACATTAAGGAATATAATCTATTTTATCTATAATAAAATGTGATTCATACAAAATTTTTATGACAAAACGTTAAATAATAAATTGACGCAATTAAATAATAAATTATTTAATTTAATATAAGAATTATAATTTAATTTTTAGTGTCTTTAATTTAAAGACACTTAATAGCCAATGTAATCTTTTTAAAATCTTTTTTCATAAAAGATACCTATTGCAAATTTATCAAATAATTATTCAAATTCAAATCGGAAATTCTAGAAGATTGTATATGGAAAGTCATGATATATATATATATGAACACAAGTGACATAGAAATAAATAATTCATTTAATTGATTAATTTGCGTATTTGTTCTCTCCTCATGTTCTAATTGTTTCAATAATACTAATATGGTATTGCGATAGAAAGTACGAGGAATATGTCGCGATGTTAGATTCATTATTTTACATAACCAGAATATCTATTTTGAAACTAATGTTTTGCTATACCGATAACGTAATAAAATAGTCTCTTTAATTAAGTAAAATTGTAGTACTGAATGCTCGCTTAAATTATTGATACGCTCGAGAGCTCTCACGAATACTCTGTCGATGCGTACTCGCTTAGCGCCCCGCGTCCGATGTCAGAGTGAACTTAATTATGAAATTGTAATGAGAAAAGTGGTACATCTGTGAGTATCATTGAATAAAAACTCAGTTTGACTTGAGCGAGAAGGAAATCGATCACTTCACGTCTGTTTAATTTACTTTCTAATTAATTACTGGAAGTTAAATGTCTTTGCAATTTAAGAACATTAGATTT